TTTTGCCTGTTGACTCGCTAGGTTGCAGCTTGAGCGGCTAAGTAGATCAATCAGCACTGCATTCGTGACTGTGAGTAACAAGCTCAAGACGTCGAATGCTTCAATTGAAATGATGCTCTTCCACTCAATGTTCGACGCGTCAGAGAAAGATGCTGCCACTTTTTTTTTTTTCTTTGCTGAGCACCGGGGGCGCCTGGTGGCTGTCGTGATCGAGATGGAGGATGCAGGTGATGACGACCAGGTTGTCACAGTACACCCCGATGGAGAAGCGCATGGCCCACGATCCACTGGCGAAAGAAGACGGCCTCAGCTGCTGCAGGCGTTGGCGGCCCTTGGCGCAGGGCTGGCGGCCTGGCGTGCTGACCAGAGGGTCACCAGTCGGCTATCGCTGGCTGGGGTCGCACCACTTACGGCACAGCCTGCCAGGGGTACAGTGTCCTTCAGACGGAGTTCTTCTTGGAGTCATCATCGGGCAGATTGGACAGGCCGAGATGCCATGCACCAACCAGCCCTCTCAGAATCAGAACGTTCGCTCCCCTTCCGGCAGCAAAGAGCAGGCTTATTGTTGTGCAAGCTTGGCATCCTTCGGTTGTCTCGGGCAGTGCAGTGAGACTAGCGGCGGATGGGAAAACTCGTGGCAAACGGCGGGCCCGTAGGGTTGGTTGAGTAGGCTGCCATGGACGGGGTTAAGGTCAATCAGCCCGATGGAGCCTTGTCATCTGATCAGAAGGATGTCATGCTGGTTGTGACGATTGGAGCTTGGTCCTTTGTGGTATACGTACGCTCAAGTCTTGGCTGCCGTGGCAAAGGAATAAAGCACCAGTTGTCTGTGATTGATGCCAAGCAGGGAGATGGCAGCATTTTGAGACGCGAGCGATGCGGCGGCATGGCCCCAGGAAAGATGGGCCGCCCTGGGGAAAATGTGACTCTTACCGGCATTGACCATCCTGATGGACGATCAGGGGTACGGCGCAGGTGCTGGCCGTAGGACTTGGGCTGATGGGGGAAAAGAGTAGGAGCAATGGCAGGAGCAGGGCCGCCGTTGGATTTGGGTTGGCAGGGACGAAACTAGACGAGAGGATAGAGCCAGCCAATGGGAAACATTGTACAAGACCTTCCTATCCACAGTTCATGGATGCCTCGCCTACCTAGGTACCTACCTTAGGTACCTTAGGTGCCCTTGTTCATGCCACTTGTCCATGGTACACAGCGCATAAAGCCCCCTAGACCATTTGTGGCCATGATGTCTCGGTACGTACCTTGGGCATCCAGTTCGGGACACCGAGAACGCCTACCCCAGGCAGACTCTCTCCATCTCGCACCCTCTCATCCATCCCATCCCATGTTATCAACACGGCCATGAGCTTAGCCACCTGAATTCACTGAATG